GAAAAGAGAAAGTAAACGTTTCTAATAAATTTTTCTGAGAGCAACTTAAAGATTATTAGTGACAAGTCTATCCATCTATTTGGAGATCAATATCTTAGATTCCAGAAAAAAAAAAAAAAAAAAAAAACCTCCAGATGCTGTCTCTCTGCCCCTCTCTCAGAACTCTTTCAACCTAAATTTTCTCTAGATTAGCTGCACTCTCTGGCAGATTCCGTCTCCCCATTGTCCTACCCCAGCAACCCCTGGGCACAGGAAGGCCCCTGCAGAAAGTCCAACCTTGTCTGATAAGGGATCCCAGTTGACAAACTTGATTTCCTCACCCCTCCTCTGGAGGAGCCAGTCAGGTCATACAGCAACAGGCTTTCCATTCCCAGAAGGAGGGATGTGGTCGCCTTTGTTTTTGTTCTGTTACAATGTCAGAAAGCTAACCCAGCTCTGGTTTTTCCTACATGGCTAGGTAATCGTGAAGGCCAAGTAATGAGTCGGCCATCTTTTCTTCATTAACTGAAGACATTTCCTGTACTTTATTTTAAATTTTCATAAAGCTGTGCAGTTCTGCCTGGGGCTGTTCATTCTGTTCATCTATTTATCTCTTCTTGGGCTGGTTGTTATGCTGTCAATGTCAATGTCAGTGTTTAAATCATAATTTTTTTAAAAAATTTATTTGTGTGTGTGTGTGTGTGTGTGTGTGTGGCCAGCTCAGCCCACCAGGGGGCGGGGTTGGCTGGCATGTGGTGCTGGGGGATTGAACCGTAGTCCCTGTGCTTTGCTAAGCTTGTTCTTAGTAGGTGCTTTAGACCACTGAGCCATCTCACCAGCCCCTAAATTGTAATTTTGAATTAGATTTTTTATAGTGTAAATTCATTACACAGAATAGTGGACTCGGTATCTCTGTACTTGCGTAGAGTATTTTGATCTTCTTCACTCCATCCCAGGACTCCGTTGCCCTTTGTTAAAAGTTTAAATATAGTATCCCAAAAGACTCATGTATTCAGGGTTTCATCCCTGTGGTGGATTGACAACTGGTGGTCAACTTGTAATCCCCAGCTGAACTGAACCAGCATGGCGCTGGGTGTGGAGGCCCACCTGAGGATTGTTGCCAGCAGCATAAGAGGCAGAACTGGAGGAGAAGAGAGGTTTCAGAAGCTGTTGGCTTTCCTAATGGGAACTCAGCTTTCCTCATCACTGGAGGAACTTGGGACCTTATTGTTGCTAAGGATGGCTGTGGTACTTTTCAGGGGAACTCTAGTTCCTACTTTGAGAACTGCTTTCTAGCTCCAGTGCAGATCCCCCAGCCTGCTAGCACAGATCCTTCATCCCACTGGCAGATTTTCTAGCCTCTACCACTGACCTTTGGGCCTTCCCAGTGCAGATCTGTGAAGCAGGCCTGCATGGGACATTGTCATGGGCTCTTGGCCTTCAGATGGACTTGTTGGGGGTGTTGTTATGGTCTCTAGATCTTCAGCTGGACTCATGTAGGACATTGCCATCGGATCCAGGCCCTTGGCTGGATTCTTTGGTCTTTAGTGTGTGAACAGATTTCCTGTGCTCTCTTTGTATACGATTCTTTGGATGACTGTTATAAAATAATGTAATTATTTCTATAAATTATGTGTCCTGTATTGTTCCTCTTGCAAAACCCCAAATTACAACAATCCCTGACACTACAGTAGAGAGGGGGCCCAGCTGGAGGAGGCAGATCACTGGGACCTGCCTCTGAAGGGTACGAGCCGCTCCAGCCCCTTCCTTTCCTGGCTCCTACTTCCTGGCTGCCATGAAGTGAGCCCCTCTTGTGCCCCAGGCCCTTTCATGGAGAGCTTTCCACCTTGGAGCCAACCAACCATCACAGTGTGAGCCAAAATAAACTTTTCCTCCTCTGTTCTGTGTATGCTAGGTATTTTTGTTCCAGTGATAAAAATCTAACATGCCCTTTTCTCCTTTGAATTATGTTGGCCCACTCGGGGCCCAAGATTAAAGAACACACGTGTGCAAGACACCAGCAACAATAGCAGGAAGCATGGAACAGAGCGGAGACCCAGAGCAACAGCGCGAGAGAGCCACCTGTGACTTCACTGTATAATTCTCACACAGGTCGTTACCTCAGGTTTACATTCTTACACAGTGCTGTAACCAGCACATGCGTGTTCACCTGCACTAAGTCATGGTTACACAACTGCATCACACTGTGCACTGTGTAGAGAAACAGGATCATGTTCTCAGGTGTCTTGGGACACCCCTGAGCTTTGAAGCAGTCTGCGTGGAGCCCCACATGTTGCAGGCAGCCGAGTTAGATAAAAATATAGGCAGTCAGATAGGGCCAGGCCCGTGAAGGAGATAACACAGGAGACAAGACACCTTACAACTGTGGGAGGGAAGGATGCTCCCGCTGTGAGCCAGACCTAAAGAGCAAAGAACAAACAAATGCTAATGTCCCTAACGATTAGCATCTGGGATTGTTCTTCACCCTAAAAAGCCAGGAAGAACCATTATCTGATGGCTACCAGACAAAATCCTGTTTTATATTCATGCCCCCTTGCTACCTGACTCCATTCCCCTTTCGGTCCTGTGCTTAATCAACTTTACCTGAGCAATGATGCTTATAATCCCATTGGTTGACCATAGTTTTGTCCCACCCCCACATCCACCTTAGCGAGTCCCCATATTCTCCACCTTAGCCTGGCATGGTTTTGCCCTATAAAAATAACCTGAAAGAGACAGCTTCCTGGGCAACCCACTCAGGCCCCCCTTCTGTCCCTCTCAGACAGAAGCTTTCTTTGCCAATAAAGTTTTAATCTCCATTTGTTCCTAAAATTCATTCTTCAGTTTTCCAGAACACAAACTCATCCAGGTCAGGTCAGGAGTTTCACTTCCCTATATCACACATATGTCTTAACATCTTTTGTCTCTCTTGTGTGGCCGGGGTCTTGCACAGGTAAGCATGGGCTCACCTCTGCGTTATACCCCTGCAAGACACACACACACCTTGTCCTTAATTCTAAAATTTCTTGGCACTTTACTTTCCCAGATGAGTTTAAAGACTTGATCGCCAAAGTCTAAGAGAAAACAAAACAAAAACTAAAACCCTGTTGAATATTGGTTAGAATGGCATTAAATCTACAGAACAATTGGAGAGAACATCTTTGAGATACTTGATTTTCTCACTGAGAAATGCTGTACTTTTGCTCACCTTGTACAATTATATTTGTCACCAAGTCTTACAGTCTACATAAGCTCTTCTCATTTCTTTTGAAGCATGTTCATAGGCCCTTATTTTTGTTGTAGCTATTAATAAGATTTTCTCTCTCACCCTGTTTCCCTGTAGAAATCATAGAAGGATGAAGTAGAGTTTGGGTGTTGGCTCAGAAAGTTCTTTACTACTTGCATCACCAGCCTGACTCCTCCTCCTCAGCTGGCTATGGAGGGTGACTAGGGCCATCTTTGTAAAATATGAGCTAGGTCATGTTAGTTCCTTGCTTAAAACATTTGAATGGATTTTCCTTCATTGTCCCTGAAGTAAAAT